TCTGAAAAACGTCGTATTTGAAATTTGTTGACCTACGAGTACTGTATTCACTCATTCTGCATTTGCCCAAACGGGAAATATAGAGTATCGTGGGCTCCACGACTCGCAGAGTTGTACTAGCTGTTATTTAGGTGGTCCCTCACTGGTTACCAGGCGGGTCTCGACCGACGTCTCTTCTTAACAAAAGTAAACCCGTAATTAGCGATTTTGTTGTGAGTTACTACGTAATTTATTAAGTATTTTGGATGTGGTATACCACTTATATTTAAGACGTAAGTATGTATAATTATGGTGTACCTAGTATTTGAATTTAATATTATTACTATAAAAAATTATAAATGCAACTTTAATACTTCTTTTTGTTGGAATAAATCTAACAGAAAATGTAATAATTAATTAAATTCGCGTTCTCCATTATCCAGACAATCGAAACAGTTTAATGTAGATGTCGATGGGGTTGCAAACGAATCGATTTCCTAATGGCACTGTGTGACCACCCGGCCCCGTGGAGATTGACTCATTTGCACTGCATTACATTACTGAGTGACATGCTCAGCCAATCTCATCAGGAAGGTAATGAACGTAAAAGTTTTCTAAGAGTCTCGCTAAGAGTTTATATGCATACCTAGTATATATACCTATCTAGTTCAGAGCCACAGATAATGATAATCAATATGCAATATGAAATTGTGTTTAAATCGTGAAATTACGTTTGAATTAAAATTTAATGACAGAGGATAAGAATTTCTTTAAATAAAATACGACAAACTTCTATAGCCTTCTGAAAACTTTATTAGTGATTGTAATGTTTTACAGCCCGAATAATTGATTAAATACTACTGACTACTTTATTATATACTAATAAGAACAAAATATGTATAACATGTAAAATTTTGTAAAAATGTGTAACGAATTAAAAATAACAATAATTATTTTCAAACAGAACAAACTAGGTAATATAACAAACCTTTAACTTCAAAAGTTTAGTTTGTTACAATCTCGGTTATGTTACTTATACTGTTACAGTATCAATTGGGAATACTATAATGAATTAATATATATATATATATATATATATATATATATATATATATATATATATATATATATATACTTTCCATTATAACGCTTTGTATTGTCTAAAATAATTTTAACGTGACGTAGCCCAACGCAGGTGCATTTCATGAAATATTTATTTTCACTGGATAAATAGTATGTCATAATAATCATTAATCACTTTATCTTGGGGGCCTGATATCATTGATACAGCAGATACAGCGATACATAAAAGTCTTTAGATCAGACGAAAATATAAACTTACACAATTCCGTATGTAATAAATACCTAGATCTAGATTTCTTTTCTAAAGCATGCTGTTAATATTATTCAGCACGATATGCGCTTTGGTTCTGAATAACTTAACAAAGGTAATTTTTGTTTCTATTTTTCACTTCTACAATAAAGCCAGTAGTAGTAGCTTCAGTAACATTTTTTCATTGTTTCGACAATCGTTAGATTTGCGTTAATTGATGATTTTTTCATGCATAATTTTGTGTCATGTTATATCTATAGATCATTTGCGAGAAAAATATTTTTCGTTTATGATAATAGTGCACTTGTCATAAAATATTTGCAATACGTGTGCGAATAATTTTTTCACTTTGAAACGTAGTTAGGTACTTATCTGTGATAAGTAGTTTCAGTCACTTAGGCATTTTGAATTGTTATTTCACCAGGTACTATTACACTTGTAAGATGTACTGTATGCAGTAACTCTAACACCTGTATTATATCGCACTGGATAGACTGTCACAAGTGACCGCACTACGTCGAGATTGAATTACTAAAGTTAAACAACAACAAAACAGGTAGAGTAGACTATTCACTACTGTTTAGTAATAAAGTAGTTAATAAAGTATTCTTTGCAGCCAAAGTGTCCAACTGCAAAAAAGAAGGTTCACTTTATTGAAGTAATATTACGGAATATATATATATATATATATATATATATATATATATATATATATATATTTCAACAAGCGAGCATACAGTTATACGTTGGTAGAGCCATGCTGCAGTTATATTAGTAGTATAGTTGTAGCACGAATGGGTCGGCTCGACCGGGGAAGGACCACGCTCTCACAGAATACCAGCGTGAAATAGTAGCTTAATGCTGCTGTATTTCGTATGGTAAGTGTAGAGAACCGGAGACCCTTTTTACTGGAAACGAGGCATTCCATCTTAGTCCTCACGGGTGACAACGCAGTCTGCATTTTGATTCGTAATCGAGGATAGATGTAGATGCCTATGGGCCACAGCAACCACTTACCATCAGGTGGACTGTGTGCTCGTTTGTCACCCTATCCTATAAAAAATAAAAAACCTGATGGTAAGTGTGCATTTTAATTATTAGTCGAGGATAAAAATGTAGATATCTATGGGCTACAGTATCCACTTACCATCAGGTAGACTGTATGCTCATTTATTTCCCTCATTCTACACAACATGTAACAAGAACCCTGTTGTTTCCGTTAACTGTGTTATCAGAATCAGTATCCAAATATAAAGAAATTAAAAAAAACACATTTAAAAAAATTAATTTTAATGAAAAAAAAATATTTGCAAATTGTAAGTATGTGGTTTTATTATATCTGCATTGGCCGAGGAGTAAGAGCATTGTCAAAGACCCCGTATTACCGATACTCGTGTGAGTTAGAGGAAATAAAACCACATACAATTTGCGAATTACGTAATTGTTTTTTATTAAAATTAATTTTTTTTAAATGTGTTTTTCTTGGAAAAAAAATCTATATGCTTGGATACTGATTATGATAACGCAGTTCATAAAATTATTTTTTAATGTGTGTTTTGAAAAAAAAAAAATATTTCTATACGCTTGGATACTGATTCTGATAACAACACACTTAACGGGAACCAAAGGGTTTTTGTTACACATTGTATATTAAAAAAAAAAAACTATCCCAATTTAATTTTTGTTAAATTTCATTGGTGTCTAATGCGAGACTTTTTTGAATAGTGTATAGAAGGCCAAATTCACTGATTTATTGCCAAGTTCAATAACCCACTCATGATTATGAGGCCGCGCGTCTCGTTTTATCTAGGCGCCGAATTCGTTACACATTTCTAAATTGGCACGCACGGTGGGTTCAAATACCTAGTACCTATTATATTAAAACAAAATCACGACATGATTTCTTTTTTTTTAAACTTTCGTCTAGTACGTAGGTGCCTAAGTATAAGTACTTGTAACTAATTATTAACATAGGCACCTTTATCACAGAATCACACGTCTACCACACGTCACCGACGGTAGGCAAAGCATTGATTTATATGTACAATATTACACTAGATTAGTAATTAATTAAATGGATAACTCAATAAGGCAAAGACTACGATCTTCTATATGGCACGATCCTGACACAGCTCCTCGCTTCTTTCCACACTTCTTTTTTTCTTTCTCCACATCCATATTAAATCTACGCATACATATTTGACCCATCATCAATACCTATGTCGCCACTTTGGTAGGTAGGTAGATAAACTTCCGTCTAGGCTCTAGGGCAAAACTTGTGGACTCTGCCACTCATTTCTGTAGCATAAATTTGCTTTATCACTTTTTCCGCCTTAATTATTACAATAAAAACTACAACAGGAGAGGCCAACGACCAGTAGTCAGTTAACTTTTACGGGCTATTAAAGAAGGTATGGGCGATTATTTTAAACAAATATTATCTAGGTAGGTACACTTTGTTGACAGAAAAACTGAATTATAACTTTAAAATTATAATGTTATAATTATTAATATTAATTTAATTACACTCATACTATACAGTATACAGTACAAGTTAATTTATAGCTTTTAAACACTAACTAAAAGTATAAAATAATTTCACCTATTCTAAAGTCCGTTCTAAGACGTAGGTACCTAGGTAGGTAGAACCTAAGTAGAAGAATTAAAGCCACGACTTCGAAATTCGTAATTAGGTATTTTATTCTTTTTAGTTCTTGAAGTCGGATTTAACTTTTTAATAAAAGTTAATTTTTTTCCCTTTTTAGTGGACTAAGGAATTGGTTCAAAATAATTGATGAAGATAGGTATCACGTATAAATAAATAAAAAACATACTGTCGAATTGTAACCTCCTTGTTTGAAGTCGGCTAAAAAGTACATTTATTTAGTATTACATTAAAAATTATAAAGTATACATGAAATATACACCTTCAACATAACGGTTTTCTTTGCAGTTGATCATTCAGTGGCTCATTACAGTCAATTTTAAATGGTGCAATGTCGTGATATACCTATAATAGGTAGGTACAAAAAATTATCGAAGGTCGATGTCCTATGACGAAATTATTCACTAAGGAAAACATTTAAAGCGCCATCTTTGTCAATACTGGTACAGTACGAACACAGTTTCGAGTGTCGTAGAAGGTTACGTAGATGGCGCTAGCAAGCGAAGATGTGCGAATTTGTGATAACAAAATGCCAAGGCCAATGTTAATAAACTTTGACTTTGTTTTTAATATCTAAGTCATTTTTACAATGACTTTAATAGAAATTATTAAATTTGATTCATATATTAAATACCGTGATACTTTTCTTAAGTATTTTTTTCAAAATTACATTATTTTTCATTGCCTAACCTAATTTAAATATCTATGGACTTTGGGAAAAAATAATAGAAAGACCGCATAGCCGACTAATTTTAAAACAATTACCTATATGATTTGTTATTTAATTTAAAATAAAAGTTATTATTTAAAGGCAATGCCCATACTTAAGTAAAATCTAAAGTAGTAACGTTTATACAAATATTGCAAAATTTAAATTTAGCGCGTCGTTTGGAAACATGTGAAGTTCGCGTTGCGAATACTAGCTCCGATTATGATGTGAAAGATATTCCGAAGGCCGTGAGGTGCCGTGAGTGAACACGGAAATCGAGATGCGTGTGTGGTCAAAAAGACAGTGCAAGGTAGGGGTCGGGTGGCGTTTGTGATGGCAAAATTTTTGCAAATGGTGAGTTAGGAATTATTGACTTTGTGAACCTGGAAATTTATTTTGATTTGTGTTAGTGAATTAATTGTGCGTTATAGAAATTTCGTTGTTGATTGATAATTTTAAGAAACTGAGATACGGGATCGGCAAATGGCGCTACGAATAGCCAAAGTTGACACAACTACGCGTTTAGAAATGCCGTTTGTCCTCCGAATAACAATTTCAAGGCACGTGGGATGTTTTTGATCACAGCAATAATGGTGCATCTACAAATTCCTGAAACCACGCGTTTGATTAGCAACTGGCACGTCCAGGTTGGCGATTATAACGGTGTCAGCATGTTGCGATTTTTTTGGCCAGCGGTACTACTTTTCTAAACTCGTTTTATAGAAGCGGCTTGTGGTTTTCGCGTCCCGTAGGGTCGGTGGCCCCGCCGTGTGTCTTCTGGAGCTAAATTACATAATGTAGGGGTCTCGCTTGGAGCATGCAACAAGTAGATATGTGTCGGCGGGCTAACTGTCAATGTTGAGTACAGTAAGCTTGCTGCCCGCGGCCCCTATTAATTCGAGCCGCTGATGTCACTTATCTTTGCGCTCTACTATCTAAGCCCTATGGCCGCATTTTTTTTGCACATAGTGGCTTTATGTATATTTGATAAACAGCGCACGTGTCTAATTACCCAGAGAATTTAAATAGTGGCAAAATGTATGATGCAAGTATTCTAGTTTTCAGCTATTATTTCCGAGTGTTTTGGTTTTGTAGATTTATATCAATTTTCTGGAGCGCTTTTTAGTGATAATGAATCTCTATTAAGCGTTTAATGTGATTTTTCACAGCACGGTCACTGACATTAGCACCCACAATGGACCAGCAATTCTGTTTGCGCTGGAACAACCACCCAACCAACCTGACTGATGTACTAGCAAGCCTGCTCCAGCGTGAGGCACTCTGCGATGTAACACTTGCCTGTGATGGGGAAACAGTCAAGGTAATGATTACTGTATTAATCAAGAAAATTTAGGTTTGCTTTCTTATAATCTTTATTTGCCTTTTTCATCTAAAGGTGTAAAAAAGTGTTTTAAAATTGCAGGAAGTTTCATAAGCTGTTACATGCTAATATTTATTTACAGTTGATCTGTTTGATACATCATGACATTGCATTCATGAATTAAATATATGTTGACATGTTACAGCAGCTGTTTATTATGTCATAACAAATTGCATACAATAGTAAACAATGTTGAGTAAGAAACAATATAATGCACATAACTACAGTTTGTATTGAAGCTGGTATTTCATGAATCATTGACACCTTGTATATTTCATTAATTATTGCTTTTTAATTATATTTTCTATGACAAATAAGAAAGAAAATGCAAGTAGGAGTTCACTAAAATTTAAAATGTTTATAATTACATCCAATTTTATCTTCATATGAGCCATGAAATCAAGGCAGACCACATGTATGTATTGAAATGTTGTATTCAAATGTTTGCTAATCCTACAAGGTTATTCTTACTGAAATTGTTTTTTTTGTTTGGTCATCTTAAAATCTTGAATGTAATTTACATAAAATACCTAGATCATATATTTATCTGTTCTTATACTTATATTTTTCAAATAACTGTAACTTATTGAATTTCATGTTTTATTATTTTTTAAAAGCCTTTTTAAGCTAAACAGTAAATATATTTACTAAAATATGTATTGACAATGAATGTAACAGTAAAATATGAATAAATATGGTGCTCTATATTTTTTACATTGTGGTGTACACTGTGTTTTAACAATCAAAGAGGGACATCAATTAAGTAATGATTGTTTGCACTATCTATAATCATCTAATAAGCAAATTACTATCATTGCTATATATAGTTCTTTCAATTCATTAAAATTCTAAGATTTTGAAAGTTTAAAGTTTTATGCTAATAAAATGCAATTTACTTTGTAGGTCGTCAGTGCTATTCACTGCTTGTATGTTAGGTAGTCTGCAGAAGAGCTGCATGTCTTTAACTTTCTAATTTTTATAGCACTTGTTTGGTTGGTTTTAGGGTTTAGAAAATAATATGAATGTACAGTTATTGTCTGGTAAAAATAAGTTCGTATTTTGAGAACACTTACATTTTTCTTACCTTGCGAGTTACTGGTTGATTGTATAACACAATACAAATATTTATTTACTGTGTCAACTGATTCTAATAAATTTATTCTTCTTTTGTTCTTTCAGTAAATTTTTACATATTTCAATGTTTTATTTTAATAATAATAGCGCTCCAGAAATGGTTATTATTAAAATATGCATGTAACAGGAAAAGCCTTTATATTGTATTTTGTCTTTATACCTGTTTTATAACTTGACACGAAAAATTGTTGTTACAGGCACATAAGACTATTCTCTCAGCATGTTCTCCATATTTTGAAAGCATATTTTTACAAAATTCCCATCCACATCCCATAATATTTCTTAAAGATGTGGGGTTCTCGGAGATAAAGTCACTCTTGGATTTTATGTACAAGGTAATTATTAGTATTTTTTTCTTTATTTATTTTTTAAACACAAAATTCTATATACTGTTTTTATTTCAGGGTGAAGTAAATGTTGGCCAAAATATGCTACCTATGTTCCTAAAGACTGCTGAAAGTTTACAAGTAAGGGGTTTAACTGAAAACAATACATTAAATGCCAAGGTAAATAATAATACTTAATGCTTAATTTTTTAGTTTAGCATAGCACCTTAACCTAAAATATATGACTCAAAACTAACGTAATTTTTTTTTATCGTAAGTTGCTACACATATTGAATTCATAACAAATTATAATGAAACTTAAAATATTTTGCTCTTGACTGATTTTAATCTTGGAGAAGGATTGATGGAGTACATAGTATTGACTGTATCGATGTTACAGTGCTACTAATGCATATTTAAGTGGCAATCACTCATAGTAACCAACCTACATATATCCAATATGACTTGTATTCAGTAAGATCTATGGCAGTACAGAGTGTAGACAGAACAATGGCATCAGAACCAGACTCATATAATGTCCTAACAGTTGAGTATTTGCACAAATATTCAATTTGGAGACTATTTAAAATTTTAAACTAATGGCATGCAACTCAGTAGCCAGTGGATATCCCCAAAGGCAATGTATGCAGTATAGAATATAGATAAGTCATTTCTAATGTTAACCAAGTAATTTTATTAAAATAGAATAAAAGTGACAAACAGGCACACAGTCCACATGATGGTAAGTGGATGCTGTGACCCATAGACATTTACATTTATCCTCGTTTAAGAATCAAAATGCAGATGCCACCCCTGAGGACTAAGATGGAATGCCTCGTTTCCGGTAAAAAGGGCCTCCGGTTCTCTACACTCACAATATGAAACGTAGCAGCCTTAAGCTGCTATTTTACGCTGGTACTATGTAGTGGTGGTGTAAGAGTATTCCCTACCGTATACCATCCCGTTGGTGTCGTAAAATGCGATAGAGCAAAACAAACCAGGAGATGGGCTGCAATGTTAATAACAACTAAAAAAGCTGTAGTTGCTAATTCGACTGTCAACAACTATGGCAACAATCCCCCTATGAAGCAGTCTATGGATAAGGACAGAGTAGAATAGTGGACTTTTGATAGACTGTAATGTTAACGGTAATACCTAATATCATTTTTTATAGAATAAGGGTGACAAACAAGCACACAGTTCACCTGATGGTAGATGAAGATTTATTTTTTTAGACGCTACCACACGTGGAGCTAATAAAAGTGTTTAGAAGGAAAGTTACCGTATCATTGCTATGTGTACAATGCATAGGCAACTTACAAGTGAATTTCGTTATTTAAAACCAATAAATAAATAAATGTAAAAATTGATCTGCACTCAAGTCTAATAAATAGACATGTACACTGCATTATAATAAAATCTACTACTCAAAGCTCCTACCACAAAAATTAAATACAAATCCAGCGATGGTACAAGTATTTAATAATTGGATATTGGAATTCATTGCTTATTTGTAGATTATTCTTTTTTTATATAGAGTAAGGGTGACAAAAGAGCACACAGTCCACCTAATAGTAAGTGGATGCTGTGGCCCATAGACTCAATTAAGAATCAAAACTCAGTTATGTTGTCACTGAGGACTAAGATGGAATGCCTCGTTTCCAGTAAAATGGGGTGTCCGGTGTCTATACTCAGCATACGAAACACAGTAGTATTAAGTTGCTATTTTATACTGATAATCAATTATCATAATTTTTATATCTTTATGTGTCTTAAAATTTTAAAACTAATGAAGAAATATATTGAATATAAATTACCTAGTTAAACATTTCTATAAATTTCAGGTAAAGATGTATGTAAATATTATATTTTAATATAAATTAAACAATCTATTAAATTTGTTTGAACCCATTATTTATTTTACTAATAGATTAAATTTAGATGCATAAAATAGATCATTGAATAGATTTCACTTCAATTTATTCTATTTACCAGATACCAGATTTCTGGGTTAAGAAACCACTCGATTGTTCTAACTGTAACATTTTTAGGTAGAAAAAACAGACATTAATTTTCATGAACAATAATTGTGCAAGAATGAACCTAAAAGAGTTTATAAAATTGGTATTTTAAAATGGGGTGAGCTTTAATTTAGATGGTTATTCAGAAAAGTGCAGCTTAACAGTATTACATATTATCCTCTTAGGAATTACTTATAAGTGCGTTAAAGAATTTTCTTTTTTCGCACAATATTTTCTCGTGACCTTGATATTTGTGATAAATAATAACCTGCCGGGTTGAATGTCTTCTACACGCGCACCCTTTTCTATGGACTAGTTTACATAAACCGGTTTATTTGCAACCGTGACGCGACAATAATTAAAATTTAGCAAAACTCCATCATGGCTTGATTTGGTTCATATTATAAAATATACTGCAGTAATTATATGAAATAGTAGCAGAGGCGTAATTTCACAAAATACCGCTAATGTGATTCGCCGTTATAAACAATGTTAATTATAAGCTCCACTCAAAATGACTATCAAATCATATAAAAATGTATTTGTCTTTAAGTTCTATGTATTTATATTTTCAGCCTAAGATGATTATTTCAAACTGTTTATACAGGTAGTTCATAACTGGTACTAACTAATAATCTGTACGAAATTTCAACATATATAGAGATAAACTTACAACCAATTTTAGGTTAATACTGAGTTACATCTATATATCATCATATATTTATGTACATCACAATATAATAAACACTATAATAAAGCTAACATAATAAGGGTGGAGTAGAAATTAAAAATTTTCAAATTATTTCTAGGCATTTAGAATCAATCATGCTTGCAATAGAGTTAGAATTTTTGTTTGCCTCTGCTTGCCCATCTCGCGAAACTGGAGCAATCAAGTCATCTTTTATAGTTAACACAGCCTAACTCAAAAACTTTTGCCACTATTTCAATCAAATACATCCACAGTGAGTCAAGCTTGAACTTTTCGTGTCATTCTGTCCCACATAAGCGAGCGTAACTGTGTAGGTATTCCGAATTTACAATGTTATAATTTCCAAGTAGAATATATAATCAATTTCATAATGTAGCATTGGCGGGTTTTAATTCTTTGGAGTATAAAATTCTTCAAAGTGTTATATATAGCAATGGTATACGTATTTTACTTTAACAGGCTATGTATATAGTTATTGCTAAACTTTTTTCTGACCAAGTTAAACATAACTTCAATCTCTTATTTTGCCCATAATTAAGTATACAGTTGTGTAATATCCTGATCGTAAATAACCATATCAATTTATCTTTCATCTTCACAAGTTTGATTATGGTATCATTTTTCTCAACCTAAGTCTATTCGTCAGCAAAGATCCTTTTTGCACCAACACAGTTTTTTTTAAGGATCACTACATAGATTATCTGAAACAAATTACAGTACAGTACTCATAACAGATAGCTTCGTTCATCTAATCTTACTCTCAATTCCTTTTTAACTATTCTGGTACTGTGTGATACCGTTGGAATAATCTGCCTAAAAATAACTAAATCCTTACAGCAAACACCTTTAAGAATAATGTTCAGGCTCGTTTTCTAAAAACCGTACCATCTCGATAATTCACGTCCAGGACAATTGTAATGCCTATACCGCGATTTATTGGAAGCCATGAGATCTTTCTGGGATTTCTTGTAACACTAAAGGACTAAGAAATGGGTATGTCAACCGAGTCGCCAAGTGTGACAACTATGGCAAATGGCCATGAGCAACGACACAAATGAACGGCCTAAAAATAACATTAAATATAAAGGTTTCACGAAATAATGTTTTTATTTCGTATGTAATCCATTCGATTCAGACGGAGGAGCGTTCAACGCCGTCGATGAGCGCGGAGAACTTATCTCGTACAGAGTTTGCGACGCCGCCATCGGCGCACGGCACGACGCACGGCACGAGCGGTGCGACGCACGGCTCGACGCACGGCTCGACGCACGGCTCGACACACGGCGCGACGCACGGGAGAAGCACTCCCTTGCAAGCACCTCCCGCGCTCGTCCCGCCGGAAAAGCGACGCAGGAAGAACTCAACGGTACCGCGCGATGACGTCGATCTCACATACCGGCACTATGAGGTGAGTATGCTATCCATACTATTATACCGCAAGCATTCTGATCGGAACTCTTCTTATTTGCCATGTTGAAGCGACGGATTTGTGACATCGTTTACCCAAGATGTCAAATGTTTTGATCAGACCAAGTATTTGAGGGTCTGGTTTGTTTGTGCCTTGCATGATAAGATGTGATAGGCTGCAATTGATATTGCTGCAAAGCAAACAGGCTCATAAACCACTGATAGTTCAATGTTTTCAATCTCTTCTCTACATAGTTTAAAACAAAGTCGCTTCACGCCGTCTGTACGCTCAGATCTTTTAAACTACGCAACGGATTTTGATATGGTTTTCATCAATAGACAGAATGATTCAAGAGGAAGGTTTATACATATAAACCTTTCTCTCATACATCCATATGTATGAGAGAAAGGTCGAGATTAAAAAATTTCCGTGCGAAGTCAGGGCAGATCGGTTGTCTTGTAGTAAAAACAAACAGTGTCTGTCTATTCATTTTTGCTAACATCAGCTAAGGGCGTCATTAATACTGGGCGAGATATGCACAAATCAAAAGTAGGAAAGTAACAAAAAAATATTTACAAAATACATCATATTATGCATAGGAATGGTATTATTCGAAAATATCACATTAGAAAAACAATTTTGATGATTGAATATACTTCTTGAAACGGTACAGGCTTGTAAAATATATGCACAGATGAAATACACAATAAATTTTTTTAATCAATTAGATTTTAAAATACTTCAGGCAATAAAAGGAAATTAAAAAAAAATTTAATCTATAGTTTTATGGTTTTTAAGTGACCATAATTTTTTAGTGATATGAAAAGTATTTTATTGAATTGATTTGGTTTACAGACGAAAAAAGCATTGTTTATTTTGTAAGATTGATTGATTGTTTAATATTTATTAACTGCTTTATTATGTGGATCGCAATTACGCATTTAAGACAAGGCGTAGTTTAAGTAGTTTTATGTGCCACTTTTAAATTGATTGCAATGTTTTAAGATTTGTCATTTATAACCTAGCATAGATTCTTCACTATATGCTAGGAGTTACGGAAACCAGCCCATTAAAGTCTTATGCATTAGAGTCAGGTAAAAAAGTAAATTAACAGCATGTAAATGTTCCACTGCCGAGCACAGATTTCCTGTTATTATTGAGAGGGTAATGGAGCGGGAAGTCCGCCGCGCCCGCACTGCTCCAGTGCTTCTCGATGGACTCCATAATATCCTTGAAATTAAATTAAATTTTTTAACTCAAAATATTTTTCACCGGTGATTTTTGCCGTAAAAAAAATTATTTATATGGTCAGTGCAGCGCATGTGACAGTATATGCGTTTATACATTTTGCAGCCTGCACATACTGCAGGCGACTGACTCGTGAATATCCAATAGATGACCAAGATTAACTAACAGACCAATCACGTGAAAGAATGTTACCTTACACATCCCGCGCCTTTCTTTACCAAAGAGACCTATAAATCGACTATTGCGCATGTCAAGGTTGTGCTTACGACTCGTGCCGCTTGGTATTTAAAGCAACTGTGCTTCCACATCATTCCATCCAGACTGTGAGGCTATCGTATTTTAGTTCTCAGTGGTGACATATACCTGTGGCATTCTTTCTTTGCAGGTCTACGATTAACCAATTTGTGGGTTTTTGCAAAGGAATTGGTTTTGATAATGATTTCCTTATGTTTACTTGAATACTACACATTTAAATAAAACTGGTTATTATGGGTTTTATCGCGTAAATTATTTTATTTTCTTATCCTTTCGAGCGTTGGTGTTTGACCTCTCAGAAACAGAAACAGAAACTTTTTTATTTAATGCTGCTGATTTTCGTATGGTGAGTGTAGAGAACCAGAGACCCTTTTTACTTGAAACGAGGCATTCCATCTTAGTCCTCACGGGTGGGTGACAACGCATCTGCATTTTGGTTCGTAATTGAGAATAGGTGTAGATGTCTATGGGCCACAGCAACCACTTACCATCAGGTGGACTGTGTGCTTGTTTGTCACCCTATCCTATATAAAAAAAATAGCTTGGTAACAATCACCCTCAAGATCAGCGTTAATCACGGTTACATTTGGATTCGAGATTTATTCGAATTTGTTTTGGTACAGGCGCACGCAAAGGGTGGTAAGGGCGGGTCGACGGGGTCCGGGTCGGAGCCGTCGACGCCTCCGCCAGCTCATACTCCGCAGCGTCTGACGCCGCGCTCGCCGCTGGCGCTGCCCCCCCACGCCCCGCACGCGCCGCACGTCAAGCAGGAGCCCGACTCGCCGTACGCCGCGCCGCACGCGACCCCGCTGCATCCGCCGCCCCAGTATGACCAGACGCATCTACCAGTCAGTACCTTTTTTTCTTGTTTTTAATAGCTTCAAATGGCGCTTTGCGATTGCCAGTACTATCTATGTCCGAGTACTCGAACAATTTTAAGATGCTGTTAAGTTTTTTGGTGTCTATCACTTAAGTCAAAGTCTATGTGTTAAAATTGAGTAGCATTTGAGTATTTGTCCATTAAACACGTTTGTATGTGGTAGAGCCATGCTGCAGTTATATTAGTAGTATAGTTGTAGCACGAATGGGTCGGCTCGACAGGATAAGGACCACTCTCTCATAGAATACCAGTTTCAAATGGTAGCTTGATGCTGCTGTGTTTCGTATGGTGAAAAAAGTAAAGAACCGGAGACCCTTTTTACTGGAAATGAGGCATTCCATCTTAGTCCTCATGGGTGACAACGCATCTGCATTTTGATTCGTAATTGAAGATCAATGTAGATGTCTATGGGCCACAGCAACCACTTACCATCAGGTGGACTGTGTACTCGTTTCGTCGACCCTATCCTATAAAAAAAACATTACATATTTTATCACCATTATTATATTTTTTTCTTTATCTTCATTTGTTGAATTAAACTACTCACTCGCAATCATATAATATGCCATAGCTTTCTCGAAAATGGCCCTCTTAATTTTTTTATCATGATTTCTCTGCATACTAACCATGCTGGACCAAAGGTTGGTAATTTATTATACATAATAATTTATTAAACAGCATAAATTCTTTTATGAGTCTATTTTAATGAATGCTGATTGATATCTGTACTCCAAATTATCGCAGTACTAGTAAAAACACTAAAGGACACTAACTCTCATTCCATCAAGGCTGGATAAATATTAAGTCATTATCACATAAAATAAATTCATGCTATTAAATTAAAAAAGCCAAACCAGTCCGTGTTAGCTATGTATATTGATCCTGACACAAGCACTAGAATCCATAATACAAAGTGATTTTATTGCCTGTATAAATAAATAAAAAACAGATGTCTGCTTCATAGTTCAAATTGACACAAAGTAATATATCCTTTTGGAAAGCAACACAAATTTTCAATTAAAAATGTTATCTATCATGAGTTTTCTTGATAGTCGTGCAAACCAATTAAAAAAAAAACAGATAAATTACAATGAAGATGCTCATTAAATGTCCTGTGTCCCACATTAAATTATGTTTCTTCTAGTTATGGTTTATTTTTAAAATTAAAACTTATATTAAATACTATAGAAAACTCATATTAATCTGTTTAAAATTCTTTTAATATAATAATCTCACAGTAAAATGGGTCTGTGCTTACTGTACAATTTGTCTAGGTTATATAAGAGTTTGTCCAAATAGTTTTACTATTAGGTTTATGATACAACAAACTGGATATTATTTTTCAAATAATACTACTGCTCAGTATGGCATAATGAATTCCAATAAATTTAGATATAGATGTACATGCAACTCTACTGTGTAATCAACTCTAGTGTGTAAGCAAATAGTATTCAATACAACCTAAGATATTCGAATGTCAAAGATAGACATAATATTAGTTTCTGGACACTAAAATAACAAATTAATTATTAATATCTGTTGTTTATATTTTACTGTATATTCATTTGTTTTTCACTAGTTTTTTTTTTGCATGCTAATTTAGTTGTAGTTAATTTTCAAATTAAAAAATAAAAGTATTCCTAGACATTCAATTTTTAATATGTGATGCAATTCTTAATGAAATGTTGCTTAAATGCAGTGCTCATTGAATATTTTATTGCCTGGAAGCTATCAAAAACGGTTTTCCCAATGCCTGGAAACTGGTAAAACGGTTTTTATTCTTGTCACTCACTTGTATACTTGGATTTTTATGTCGTACTGAGCTGCAGAATGTAGTAGTTCCTGTAGTATGGCCATGCTGCAGCTATATTACAGGTGTAGTTGTTGCACGAACTAGTCAGCTCAACTGGTGAATGACCATGCTTACACAAAATACCTACCAGCATAAAATAGCAACTTAACACTGCTGTGTTTCGTATGGTGAGTGTCTAGAACCAGATACCTTTTTTTACTCACGGATTACAACGCATCTGTATTTGATTTGTAATCGAGGATAGATGTAGATGTCTATGGTCCACAGTAACTACCTACCATCAGGTGAAGTGTGTGGTTGCTTGTCACCCTTATTCTATATAAAAAAAAACTATTAAGAAAGTCCTCTTTGTTCTGTTGTGAAATTAATAGAAGAACTAATAGACATGAAAACTAAGCACAAAATTGTACAACAAGAATGTACCAGTTGCATGTTGCAGCATGTTGCCTGTGTGACATGTGTGGAATTTAGATATGATGATAGATTATACAGACAGCAGACATTACATATATTCACTTCCAGCCATATGAAAAAGCTTATGGTCACTGAGAAATGAAGAGATATGCTTTGAGGTTCCTTTTATAATAGAATCTGTAATTAAGATATCTTCAATAGAACCAGAGTAACCAACATAGCCTAAAGGATCTGTAAGCGAAAGCTAGTAAGATAAAATGTACGTAAATATTTTTTACCATTCCAGGGCATGGGAGTAAACGAGATGGCATCCATGTTGACTCAACATCCACTTAGCAACGAGTGTAACGAGAATGAAACCATGTTACAACCACATCCAGATCAAACTGACACCATTGATGGTAAGCTTTTATTTATTTTAAGGCGATCACATACTTATTGTTATCTATATTTACATGTATTAAGATAAGATAAACTTTTTCAGGCTGATATAGTTATGGTTTAATTAATACCGACATAATTGTATGCTAAGTTTGTGGTCGTTGAAATTCTAATATAATTATATTAAGCCAGTTGTGATTGATGGTTATAAAAATGTATTTAAAATTGACATCTATTTTTTATTATAATCATTGTCACAACAGGTACTCCGAATGTGTATCAAGTGTGATTTGTTGCCAGCTTTGAAAATGCGTTAAATATGTGGAAGTATAGACTATACACAAGAGTTTAATATTTCCAAATATTTTTCTATAACCTTGTTGTTTTATAACTGCATGCCATTAGCACTGGATAGCATGTTTATACTCTCGCTTATATTAACCTACTCTAATTTGCACCAACCACTCATTGATCGCTTTTAACAGTTTCATTACTTTATGCTTTGGTATATTTTATATTATTAAATGAAGGAATCGGTGTGGTTATAATTCAAATTTGCATATGATTTGGCGCTCCCAAAGTTAAGGTCATATTAAGATAAATAATGAATATTATGTGAAATTGTGTTTGGAAGTAATTATGTATGAAATTTTTAGAATAAATACAAATTATCAGTTTGTGATTGAGTAGGAAATGAACTATTGAGGTATGCATGGACACAATGAACACTAAAATATTGTAATGCATTAAGTTTTGCTGAAGAGAGCACTGTCTGGTCAAGACAATAGCATGAAATACAAAAACTCTAAAGCAGTGAAAAAACATTACATGTCTTACAGGTGAAAACTATGGCGTTGACGAAAACACTAAGCCTCCAGATCGATTCAGCCACAAATTAGCGAATATTGAAAACATAGTGAAATCCTACAAAATTGCACTAAATCAAAAACCTTACAGTATTTCTATGTCGTGTAGCGTATGTGGTAAAAATGTTAGCAATATAAAGAAACATATGAAATCTCATAATCCTGAACAGCACAAATGCCCTCTGTGTCCTATTATATTAACTCGGGCTGACAATCTCAAAAGACATTTACGTATGAAACACTGTTCTGTTTTGAGGTCGGACAATCTATCAAACATCCAAACTCCTTGTTGAGAATTAATTTTAGTCAAATAACAGAACAATTTTTCTAAAACTTTCTAAGAATGTTGTTCATTCTTCATAATCAACATTTCATCATTAAAATAATGATAATGATATAGTTACCTACGATCTCTCAAAAATGTCGCACTATATAATGATGTATTTTATTTGCTTGAATCATATCGAAAATAATGTTGCGAGTACTTCAATTTGCGCAATGTATTAAATTAAAAAGAAAATATTTTGACCTAAAAGATGTATTTTTTTTATTAAAAAAAGCTTTGTTGTTTGCTTCAGAGTAATAATTTACACTCAATGAATTTGGACGGCAAATAAATACATTATAATATTATGTACATGAATTTTCTACATACTCCAAAGAGGTATTTTTTAAGTTTTGAAACCAAAAACTCTTTTAAACTTACTAACATTTCCTTGTTTATTATAAATTAACTCAAATGGCTTTCACAGGTTCTATTTCCATTTTGTAATTAGAAATAAGGTGTGGTGTGTTTATTTCGTCTTTCTAATCAACAAGTCATAACAAGCACTATAATATAGTCTAAGAATAAATTAATTACAACAAAGCTATTTTGTTTTGAAGGAATGTTAATTTTGCTTTTTAGTGTTTGTTATGTCTGAAATGCTAAGAGTCAGTAAGCTAGCAATCGGGACTTAAAGTGTATGGCTAATTTTAACTAAGCTTGGAGCGATTATGTTTAACTTTCTATTTTTAGTCTTATTTGATTCATTTTTTCACCCATGTTACTTTAACGCCAAATGGCTATTTAAAATTATAGTTAGTAACAAAAATGTTGTTTTACTCACTTTTAATGACGTAAATGTAAATTCTCAAAATTGTGATAATATTTACATTGATTTTTTCGCTTGAACTAATTTGTTTAATTTTAATTTTTGTGTATAGAAATAATGTAATATTGAGACTTTTCAGGGTGAAACTTACTATACTTAATAATAGATTAGTCAGTTTTTAACACAAGCTGTGACGTAAGGGATGGGTATCATTTTATCTTAGTTGCTCAATTTTTTAAAATAGTGATATAATATCAAATATCCAATATTTTTTCTTTTACAAGGCAATTGGTAGAGTAAAATGAAATCCAACCTGCCCTATTACGCACTAGCAACATGTGATCTCTTATCGTTCCTTGTAGTAAATGTTTTAGTAAAACAACAAGTGTTCAAGACTGAATATGTAATTTAGGGCAACACTCTTTTAATATTAATTTATTTCTTTTAAATAATTAACTAACTTGTATGTAAGTATCGTTACTGTGTGTTCGTTGCAAATATATTCCTTTATTTATACTTATTTTCTTTTCATTTTCATCCTCTTCCATGCTTTCTTTTATTTATAGCAGACCTACTTCTAAATAAATAGCATTCTGTTACCAGCTTGGTGAAAGTGAACTAATTAACATGTCATGCAAATATAACAACACTGACAAATAACAAACACCATTTCTTCAAACGCCATTGATTCATTTCTGCATGAATCTCTTAAAAATTATTATTATTATTCAAGTAACATTATTTCGGAGGTTTCGTTATAATATATAATTCTTGATATTTCTTATTCATTAATAAACGCTTTTAAATATAGTGCTAGGAGAAGCATAGTTTAGCATTTATCAATTAATCTCAGAGCTGCTTAAACCTAGTGCTAATCTGTTGTCATTATTAACGTCATTATTAATTAACGTTTGCGTCCAAGTACAGTAGAACTATGACTTTTTAACCTTTTAAACAAAAAAGGTAAGATGATTTATATATTTTTTCCACAAAAACTATCTTATAATTTTCATTCAATGCTATTTGCATTGTACAGCGTCTTCATACTATATCAATAATTTTTGTATTTATATACAAATATCATTTATTTAGTATAATTATATGATCAAAAAACAATCCCATTAACAGTATTTATTTGAAGGTTGATTATTCTAGGTTCTACTGATTTAGAAGTACTTATAACTTCATTGTGGAAGTTGAGAGACTTGAAATACGTGTTAAATGCTGCAGCACCAACAGAATGTTAAGATGCGTTAAATATCCAAATTTTGTTAACAGTGAGCGATTATGAATGATTAATTATTATTATATTAATTTTCCATATTTTTTATTGAAACTGTATATTATTACTAAATTTTTGATCATGAATGCTTATCAAATAATCATACTAGTATTTAAAAACTACTGTAAATATAGTATTATGTACATATTTTTATTTCGAATATCTATTGTGTGGATGTGGTAACAACTTCTTCAGAAATGTTAACCTCGCCTCCACACGGCGCGCTCAAGATACAGCTTATATATAGCCCACTGCTGGGCATAGGCTCCCTCACATTTCTGATAGGGTTTCAAGGCAAGGAAATATCCGGTGCACTGCCCCAATGCGTGTCGACAGTCGTCGCACGTCTTCTAACATTTTTTTTTGATTTCTCAGACATGCAGGATTTACGATGTTTGCCTTCACCACCGAGCACGTGCTAAATCAGCACTAAAATTGCAATCAATAAATTCATTGCTGTACTCTGAAATTTACAGCGGGCGCTAAGCCCTTTAAATATCACAGCTTTTAAAGTCTTAAACGAGGCACTGGCGGCCGACAAATATCAACATATCCATTTTTAAACGCCAAGCTCTAATTCTTAACAGGCTGGTAATAAGGAGTATCATTACTTGGTGCTTTCCCTACTTGGTGAATATGGGCAAATACTTCGCAGTACATAATCTTATTGGCACATTTTCGAAAAACGTATAAGCATTAAAAAATACTGATAAATAAATTTTAGGATGTGTTACATATTTAGCAAACTAAAACAACACAAAGTTAGAATAATATTTTAATTGAAATATACATGTAATTCGAGTAATCATTCATAATCGTAATGAGTCGATGTAACATTTCAACGAGTCAGTTGGTACTGCGGTATTCGTCGATGAGTTGTGTGGCGATGGTGTGAGGGTGTGGTGGGAGTGACGGCTCGCTGGTTGCAGGCTCGAAGGGCTGGCACATGCGGCTGACGTTCGAGAGGGTGGCGGGCGCGCTCAACCTCCACCGGTGCAAGCTGTGCGGGAAAGTGGTCACACATATACGCAACCACTATCACGTCCATTTCCCGGGACGGTTCGAGTGTCCGCTCTGCCGCGCTACGTATACGCGTTCGGACAACCTCCGTACGCACTGCAAGTTCAAACACCCCGCGTACAACCCGGACACGCGCAAGTTCGAGCCGACGCAGCCCGCCGCGCCGGCGACACACGGCTCACACGGCACGCACACGACGCACTCGACACACGGCACGCACGCTACACACGCCAGCCACGGCAACCACGCCGCGCCGCTCTTCGCCAACCACCTCGACGCGGGCTTCGATTGATTGTCCATGTACTGGCTCGGCCTCGATGCTCTATGAACAACTCGGCCGGCCAGACCAGCCCATTAGTTACTGATGTGTCAAAATTCTAACGGACGACGTCTCGCGTTGACTTTCCTATTTAGAATTAAGCTGATGTGCTATTACTTAAGCGGGCCTTAAAAAATTCAGTTCTTAATAGCCCATCTGCGATGGGCGACTCGTTTTAGTATTGTCTCGGTTGTGCATTTGACTTGCCCCAGTGTGACCTTATATAAGAATCGGCGTAAAGAAATTTTTAATAAAACGATTTCGGAATAGGAACGTATATCCTTATCGTTATCGCTTAATTAACTCGAAACGTATATAATGTAGGTAAGCAAATTTTTTTTCTATACCAATCGCTATACGGGAACGGGCAAAAGCAATAATATGATGTTAATTTTATTACCATATTATTTTTTATATTATATCGATAGAAATCTTAAGCTATTTAAGAATATACAATATATTTGAGTAGCGGTGCAACCGCGAAGTGATTCTGGCTATACAACGGTTGCCCACAACTGGGCATTCATTATCTTGTTATATTTATTCTTAGATAGGAAATTATGAGTTTCCTGTAGCTAATTGTATTTATGTTATTATATCCTATAAGTGGTGCGGAACAACAACAGAGCAGGTTATCGAGGACTGGCAAGAGATTGTGATCTGTCGTTGGTCAACGACATATAAATATTGACTGAATCTCAGTGTAGATGCATTTGTAACTCTATGAGGCCTTTGCAAGATGGATAATTATTAAGGATTTGTGATGTATTAATGGATAGCGCCTAAGGAAACATACGAAAAGATTTTTTATACTAGACTAGTTGATCTATTTACGGAGATTGTTTTTTTTATACTTAGATATATTCTATTGTCTGATTGAATATAATTTTATATTTATATAACTGTAATATGATTTATTAGTGTTGTTTGTTTTTATTGATTCAACCTATGGTAACATGATTGATTTCGTTTATATTCAGTTGACAGTTAAATGTAATACAACTTGAGATGTTAACATGTTTATTATTTTATCGTTGGTAGATGTTTTTAAGTTTAGTTGTCATAAAGGGTCCCCAGAACCCATGTGTAAACGGTGCTTTGAGGTCAAAGACCTCGTTTCAATTATTTTAAGATAGGGTGGAACGTTCGAGGTTGCGCATTTAGTAACTAATATTGGCATTCTACGATTGGGACTAACCTAGCGTTTATGTATGTATTTTTCAATTAAAATTTAAGAATGTAAAATTTTTAACTAAACACTTAGAGTGGTACGGTAACAGAAATGTGATACAATGGAATGGTGCTAGAACCAAGAGTGTTAACACGCTACGATTCGACTCCTATTTGTAATATTAATGTTTTTTATGATTAGTTTGCATTATTGTAAGGCATCTAGCATCCAGTTGAGGTCGCATCTGTTTGGTCAACGGGTAATAACGCATACGTCGTTACACAACTAGAGATTACAGTATCACTCGAGATTTTTTATCTTAATTTTTCAGACCTTCAAATTGACTAATATAAGTAGAATGTAAGACACCGTTTGTATAGATCAAATCCTACTCAACCAAAAAGGAAACGTCTATTGTTCCATACTAGGAGCATAGTATTCAGATAGTTTTCCGCAATCGTTTCCCATATTTTCTAAGTTGTGGCGTCAATGCTGTTTTAGTAGCTGTGAACATGCAATTTCACTTGTGCAATTTTTTTAATAGTCATCTCATATCTAGATTTACAATTGCCTATTAAATATAGGGGCCCACTTGAAAGATAAACACTAAGCTCCTGTGTCCCGTAAGGATATACAATATCACCAAACGTTTCTTCCACAAAGATTTATTATATTTATTTTAGTGATAATAGAGATTTTTATATACCTTATTCAATTGTATGTTGTGGGCGCTTATTATTTGATAGCATTTCATACTCAGTGCAATATTACTAGTTATTTAATTACGTAACCAAACTAAACGATATTTTAAAAGTAAAGAATGTTTTTGAAAGAGTAAATAACGATTTTTGTATTTACATAAGTAAAGTGCTACTGGTTCACATAATGATTTCTTAAATTTACGCGAACACTACACATTGAATAAAACTAAATTTACGTATTCTATCGCGTTTATTTAACTGATTTTACTTACTTTTTAATTCCCGATGTTTCGGGTGCTTTACAGCAACCATGGTCACGGGGGGGGGGGACTGAGATGAGGGCTAACAATGACATTGGGACGTCAAACATCTCAGTCCCCCCCATAACCATGGTTGCTGTAAAGCACCCGAAACGCCGGGAATTAAAAATAAGTAAAATCAGTTAAATAAACGTGATAGAATCCGTAAATTTAGTTTTATTCAATAAAGTGCTACTCCTAATTTCTATTTCTACCTACGAAACGCAGTTTGGGTTACGGTGTTGTACAGGTTTTATAGCTGGTAATATTAAGGATTAGCTTGTTTACCTCTGCCAATCGTAATAGTTATGTACTTTTTATTAATTTATTATTGTCGCGCAATTTAAAGTCTATTGTTGAAATAGATCATAGCTATCCGGTACGGGTCCGATGCTCGGTGGTAGGCTCCGCCGAATTGCGTCAAACGCCTTCATCTAATCGCGAATGCATTTTTTGTATATTACTATCACTCGAGACCAATTTTTAATATTGAATTTGCTATAGCAAATTGATTGACTAGTAATATAGATTATTTTAGATATTTTAGGTTAGGATACTATGATAGTGTCTGGCCAGAATATTTTGGAGTATCACATCGTTTGGCTCAGAAAATATCGCCCTTTGATCTCTTTTCAGCTTTCAGAAAGTGTGCAACTTAATAAATATATGATGACCACGTAATTGGACTTATTGAAAGCTAACTTTATGCCATATGGAATTTACACATAACGAATTACTAAATTTAGTCTTATGAGAGTAAGGTCTTGAGGACCTAGTCACTTATTTGGCCAATCTAATTGAATATTCCAATTTATTGTATAGTAAAAAATTTACCTTTATATCACATGGATGTGATGTTATCATTTTGAAATTCAATGGAGTGCAGGATGAGCTCTGTAGTTATTTTCAGGATAGCAATGGTCTAGTTATGTTTATTTTGTTTCTTCATAACATTTAGCAAATTTGTTATAGTGTCGTGTATCACAATAGTATATATTATACTAATAGGGCGGGGGTGTCAAATCGTGTACCTAACAACTGGCAATCAGTCTTGTTATATATTTACATGAAATTTTATGAACGATTTGTTGTTTATGGAATATTTTTAGTGTCTTGGTTTGATGCCTCCATTAAAAGTTTAATTTAAATAATTTTGTTTTATGCAATCAGTTAATGCAATTTTTTTTATTTCACATTGTTTGATGTTATGTAATGCAATTTTAACATGTTGCAAACTCCTGCATTTATCTGTTGTATTTATTACTAATTTTTACATTAAATTGTGGTATGTTACAATTCGTGTAGTTTCAGTTGTGCGTGTTACGCGCTCCGTCCTCATTTCTAAGTCGGTGATGAGAGAATGCACTGACTGACAGCTTGACACATTTCGCTGTCACTATATGTACTTTAAACAGCAACATTTCAAGTTAGAGAACCACATACATACATTAGCAAAATGCATGCAACTAATTTTGATGTCCGATAGTCAACTAGAAGTATTGCTGTTCTATTGAAATTCAGAAGTCTATATTAATTTTTTAAAATATTTAAAACAAATACATCCAAGGTTTGGATGCCAGTATTTTTTTAAACAACGTTATTTTTTTCTCAAGGTCCAGAATAAATTCACCATTTAAAAAAGCATTTCCACTTTTTATTTCCTTACTAAGCGTAGTGTTTTAATGTTGAACATGCTAAGTTTTGACACTTTACTATAAGTATTAACTTCCTCCATCCAACCGGTTCCAAGCCTTGGAATAAAAGATAAAATGCTGCGCGAACGAGGGTCCTGTAGCGAGCCGTGACGGTCATTGGTTGCAGAACGCTCCCACGTGCCAACAGCGCAGTATTCGTACCACAGTATGTTCGTTGCGGCGGCCGAGAGCACGGCACTATGGCGTTGCAAGTCCTGCGGCAAGGAAGTATCAAACCGCTGGCATCATTTCCATTCGCACACCGCCCAACGTTCGATCTGCCCATATTGCCCCGCCACCTACAGCCGAATCGATACACTGCGCGCTCATTTGCGCTTGAAACACGCCGCGCTTCTTCTCAAACATTAAACTTTGCACACACAAACGGCCCCCGACCTCTACCTTGCTCTGAAAAAATACACACACGCAAACAACACACAGCAACATATTTATTTAAGTATTCGAAGGAAAACTAAGTTATTTCTTGTTGTCCGTTATTTTAGTCATAACGTTTTACATTCGTAATTAAATGAGTAGGTAATTTATCGCACGTTTTCGTGCATTATTTATTGTTCTAGTTAAGTGCAATATTTAAATATGTATGTTTAAAAACTAACAGGGTAAATTGACATGAACTCGATAAGATTTTCAGAAAGCTTACCTTTACCTAACGATAAGACATGTATTATGAAGGATTTTGTTCTATATTCTCTTAAGTCTTAATATTATAAATATTGAAATGATAAATTTGATTATGCCGACGGTTGTTATTATCTTAATAATTTGTAAATTAGGTTATGTTTTATAGCGACATTTTTGGTCATGTATGTATGTCATGGTTATGATATTTGTGGCCAAAGTTAAAAAGTTTAGGTATTGTGTAATTATTAATAATTTGCATAATATAGTAATTATCAGATAATTAAGTTGTACGAAGGCATATTTGCTTATATTGGCAAAGTGATAGCTTCTGGTGGTGTGGAACACAAGACTGAGATGGTAACAACTTGTGAATGATGTTAGTATTGGAAACAAGGTCTGATATGTTATGTAGCATAATTTAAAATTCAATTAGGCCAAATTAATGTAACTTTCCTTAAAAAACGAC